ATGTGTCAATGTGTACCTAATAAAGAAGTACAGAATATAAATTTATGTGTTTTTCAAAGATCGCGCAAGATATAATTGATAGAGATCCTGGTGATAGGACTAATAATCCTCACCACTCCACTGCTAATAAAGTACTGTTACTGTATACTTCATCAGGTTATGGGCCCAGCAGACGCAACAATGGATCATGTCAATTCAAAGTTATCGATTGGCTTGTTAGAAAGTAAATCTAATTGGGACACATGGAAATATAAAGTCGTCTGTCTTCTGCGTACCGTGCCGCAGGCGCTGGAGATAGTTGATGGCTCGTTCCAAAAACCCACCCCTCCTAACGCAGATGTCGCTGCTGCAGGAGATAGAGCTTGAAGAACTTAGCACGTACAATTCTAATTTGGAAAAGTACGAAAAAGTTGATGCTGCCGCCCTTTTAATTTTGACAACTAACATGCATGAAGAAACACTCAAAAAAGTTATGAGGTTTACACACGCGCGAGAGGTATGGCTTGAGCTACATAGACTTTTCGATGGTGTCAATGAAGACAAAGACTATAATCTATGTATGAGTCTTTTTAGTTTTAAAAAGGATCAATCGGATGATATAGCGACTCACATGTCAAAATTGAAAAATATTTGGATACAACTAAATCAAGAACTTGTAAAAGATAATAGCAAAGAACTACCAGAGTTACTTCTTATATGCAAGATTCTCAATACGTTAGGCGAATCTTTCTTTTCTGTCCGATGCAGTTGGCTATTATTACCAAAAGTAGATCGAACCATCGAAAATTTGACCAACCATTTATGTGCATTTGAGCGGGCACTGCTGAGTAATAATACCGTCGTACTCCAGCAGCAAGAAGCTCTTGCAACTAGTTCAAGCTCTACATCAACAGAGAAGAGAGACAAGAAGATGAAAAGCAATTACTGCAAGGCTATCGGTCATCGCGTAAAGAATTGTCAGAAGTGGATTCGAGATGGCAAGCCTCCGAAGAGTTGCAATTTATTGACACCCTCTACTTCTCATAGTGCGAACATAGTTTTACTATCAATTGAAAACACAGGGTTATTTTTTGCAGAACACGACACTGAAAATTGGTACGTAGACAGCGGCGCAACAAGTCACGTCACCAATAGAGGCGATATACTTCGGAACTAAGAGAAGTTTGTCGTTGCTCATATTGTCAAGACTGCTAACGGTAATACGATTCGTACCGAAGGTAAAGGGACAGTGATAATCGACGCAATTGTAAGAGGGAGACGACAACGCGTCACACTACAAGAAGTTTGGTACGTTCCGGCGATAACGAAAAACTTGTTATCTGTTCTTTCGTTTCATGATAAAGTTCCAAATAGCTTATTCTCATCAAGGACAGAGGAATATATAGCCAATGTCAACGGAGAAGTGACGCTAGTAGGAAAACGTCAGAAACAACGTGGTCTCTATCGATTAGACATTGAAGTTATTCCACCTATTGTATCTGAAGTAAATACGACAACAGCCACCATGCAAGTCTACCACGAAAGGCTAGGTCATCAGAACAAGAGGCACGTGAAAGCCACCATCAAACGAGAACTGGGCCTAGATCTCCCATTGGATAACGAAACTTGCGAGGGCTGCGCCTATGGAAAAGCTCATAGATTAAAATTTGGAACTAGAACTCGAGCTACCGCGCCTGGAGAATTAGTTCATGCTGACGTCTGTGGACCGTTTGTACCAAGTTTTTCCAAATATCAGTACTACGTTTTGTTCAAAGATGACTTCACTAGTTATCGTATGGTATATTTTATGCGCCATAAGTCGGAAGTCAAAGATAAGCTAGTTTTGATGCTTGCACAATTAGAAACAGTGGGACGTACTGTGAAGTGTTTACTAAGTGATAATGGCGGAGAGTTTGACAATAAGGCTATGAAGACATTGTTAGATTCACATGGCATCAAACAGCGGCTTGTCATACCGTACACGCCGGAATAAAATGGGTTAAGTGAAAGGGAAAACAGAATTCTTGTTGAAACTGCGAGGTTATTGATGTATGCACACGGAGAAATGCCGCAACAGTTGTGGGCAGAACTTATTAATACAGCTGCATACATTCTTAATCGGACTGGCCCATCAAGAGTTCCTGACAAGACTCCGTACGAATTATGGAGTGGAAAGAAACCAATTATTAAACACTTGAGAGTGATTGGAAGTACGGTTTATATACGGTATAAAACAAATAAGGAAGAAATTAGATAAAAAATCTATTAAGGTCAAGCTTATAGGATATGATGAAGACTGTTACCGTATTTGGATCACCGATGGCAAGAAGCACAGAGTTTTACGCTCTCGTGATGTCATATTTAATGAGGTCCCAATAAAAGAAACAGTAAATCCTGAAGTCCCGAAATCAGAAGAAACACGAGAGCACATCATTCCGTTGAATCATTCAGCGTCAGCAACATCTAATATTGATGTTGAACACCACGTCAATCATGAACATCGTCTTGAGGGAGAAACCTTGATAGAAGACAATGTGAATGACATCGAAGACATGCTAAAAGACAACGTTAATGGTTGTACTGGCGAATTTTATGATGCAGAGCCTATGACCTTAGGATATAATCTTCGTGATCGTAGCAAAATGAAACATCCGGCTAGATTCGATGATTTCATATGTCTAACAGAAATTTTTCCAACCAGTTTCGCTAATGCCATGAAACAAGATGACAGCGAACAGTGGAAAATGGCAATGGACAGTGAAATGAAGTCACTGAAGGATTTAAATGTTTGGACGTCTTGCATGTTGCCCAAGGGTAGGAAAGCCTTACCCTGTAAGTGGGTTCTACGAATCAAAAGAAATCCGGATGGCACTATAGATAAATACAAAGCCAGACTAGTTGTGAAGGGTTTCAAACAGAGAAAAGGCTTAGATTTTGACCAAACTTTCAGTCCTGTTGCCCGTCTTGCAACTGTTAGAACTTTATTAAGTGTAAGTGCACAGGAAAACTTACATCTTGTTCAATTTGATGTATGTACCGCTTTCCTAAATGGCAAGTTGTTAGAAGAAATATACGTTCAACAACCAGATGGCTATACCGATGGAACATCAAATGTTTGGAAGTTTAATAGAAGTTTATATGGACTAAAACAAGCTCCAAGGTGTTGAAACTCCTATTTTGAAGATATACTACTCGATATGCACTTTGAACAGTGTGAATCTGATTGCTGTTTATATATAAAGCAAGTCAACGGTGAAAAGTCACTTATCACATTGTATGTCGACGATGGATTAGTAGCTGCATCTAATGAGGACTTGGCTAACTTTTTTTGGAAGATCTGAGAAAGAAATTGCAGATTACTGTTAAACCGGCAAATTATTATTTGGGCCTACAAATATGTAGAGATTCAGATGGATCTATTTTTATCAGCCAAGAGGCATACGCAAACCGAGTCCTAGAGCGTTTCGGGATGACAGATTGCAATTCTGTAAACACACATATAGAAAAGGAACCACCACAAACAGGGAAAGCTGATATAACGGAAACGTTTCCATACAGAGAAGCTGTAGGTGCTCTCGCATATTTGATGGTTGGAACACGTCCAGACATTGCTTATGCTGTGGGAGTTGCCTCTCGGAAATTAGAGTCACCAACCAAAGACGACTGGTTAAGAGTGAAGCGGATTATGCGCTATGTTAAAGGTACTTGTGCCTTCGGAAGCAAGTATAAAGCGCAGCATTTACCTGGTCTTCTAAAAGGATTCAGTGACGCTGATCACGGAGGAGATAGTGACACAGGAAGATCTACTACTGGTGTAGCCTGTCTCTATTCGGGTGGATCAGTTTCATGGTTGAGTCAGCGGCAGACATTAGTTGCTATTTCTACAACAGAAGCTGAACTCGTAGCATCTAGTGAAGCAGCTAGAGAACTTGTTTGGCTTAGTTGTATGCTGCAGAAGATTATAGTATAGAGCGAATTACCAGTACTGTATGTCGACAACGAAGCAGCTGTGCGCCTTGCCCATAATCCAGAGTTCCACAAACGGACTAAACACATCCGCATTCGGCATTTTTACGTGAGGGAGTTTGGTTGCCGAAAATATTGTTTCTGTGGAGAGGGTTGATACGACGCATCAATTGGCGGATGTATTTACCAAAGCGTTACCCAGCAAGACTTTCTATTCATTGTGTCGCGCGCTAGGTCTTGAAGTGTTGAACAAGGGAAAGTGTTGAAATAGAAGAAACTCCTTTTTAAATAACATATTCAACAAAGACTAGACTAGTGCATTTAGAAACATTTTTTTATTATGAACAGTTGTCATTTGTCAATGTGTATCTAATAAAGAAGTCCAGAATATAAATTAATGTGTTTTTCAAAGTTCGCGCAAAATATAATTGATAAAGATTCTGGTGATAGGACTAATAATCCTCACCACTCCACTGCTAATAAAGTACTGTTACTGTATACTTCATCAAGAATATCCTACGATATTTGTTCAAAACTAATATTTGACTAATTTTCTCTGATTCCAATTGCAATGTGCCGAGTCGTCAATTTTTGGTAATCGGACATTTTGGTACTCGCTTAAAAAATTGAATCAAGATACGAGTCGGAAGTCTTGGCAAGGTGTTCGAATACTAGCAAGAGTATTCGAGTACTTTAGTGGACTCGAGTACTATTTGAAGCGAACTTTGTGATTTGTTTTTGACGACAACACCTATTTTCATTTCTAATATATATTTTCCTATTATATGATTGGTGAACTAATAGTTTTTTTTTTTTTACCGAGGCATCAACCCTTTTGTCTAATTTCAAAATCTATTGATATGAGGAAGTATTTAAAAAAAAACCAAAGCACTAAAAAACACCTTTACCATATTTCTTCATTCAGTATTTTATGTATTCGAGTACCTGATTCGCTAGATATTCGAGTCAGTATGATTCGGCACATCCAAACATTATTTAAACACTTAGGCACATCTCTAAATTGTACTGCTACTGTTTGTATATACGGTGAATAGGTTTTTTTATAGGTTCCACATAGGTTCTAACAAGATTTCAGATAGAGTGGCATTTATTTAAGTTTTATTCAGTCTATATACTGCGTAAAGTGGTTATTGCGTTAGTTGATTCAATTAATAAAAAGAGATGTCGGAAGAAGAAGTAGAAAAATGGACTCGTGAGGTGCGAAATAAAGGTCAGTGTTTAGCTGAGTGTATTTATATAGTTTTCTACCAATATTACTTCTAACTGCATTGTATGTGCTGTTTGTTATTTTGCAGAAATCCAAATGTCGCCCAGTTGCTCCAGCTTCGAAGTGCTAGATCCTCATGATCCTGTCATCAGCCGTTTGGCCACGCAGCTATTCAAGCGTACTAATGATTATCTCCAAGGGGAAATGTCTGCTGGGCAGGTAACTAATCAGTCGTTTAGCAGTTTTGTTCTAATACTGTACTATTCTAATCTAGGTAACCCTTTCTTACATTAAAACCGTGTGTTGTGTTGTGTTGCTACATATATATTTCTTATTAATTTATGCTTCAGCTTGCCTATGACTTCATCTTAATGTATTGGCTGTATCAAAAAACAAGTGTCTATAATTTCTGTATGTTTATTCTGACCAAGAAATACCTACTCTTCTTCCCAAATTTCATGAAAAGAAATTGTTTTCACATAAATATGTAGCAATCGCTCAAATTTTCTTGTTACAAAATTATTTAGTACTTTTATTACCTATGATTAGTTTAGATAAGTATACTTAGTATCATTATATTTTAATTATAGTATTATTTCTCAATATATTTTTAGTGAAAGAAAAGTATGTAATTAATATTGTAAGAAACCTTGGTATCAATTCTCAATCATTATTATATATTATTTTGATCGCCAGGATCATTACAATTTGTTGGAGGAAATCAACAGGCTCACAATCACTAAATATGCAGACTTGAAAAACTTGGCAGTGAACCTGAACAAAACTTTAATGGAGTACAATGAAATGTGTAAGTATTGTAGTCATAATATGAGTATACAGTTCAAGTTGTTGACAAACATAAGAGAAAGTTGTAGAGGCATCATAAAACTTTTAAAACAATATTATGTTAAAAGTTAGTTAAGCACTTTTTTTATAAATTCAAGCCACAAAATGAAGTGAAACTTTGTTTTATGTAACTAATTTAATGCCATATATATTTTTCCAAATTTTTGTAATATATATTACCCTATTTTTTCAATAATTTTCCAAATGAGTAAAATATTCTTTTCTGTTTAATATTTATAAGTTAAAATGGTTCATATATTCCAAACATATAACAGGAACCTGAAATTTCACTTGTAGGACACAACCATATTATGATTATTTTGTGTCACACATTTATTTTCTACTTCATATATCAACGGCTGCAAAGAACATATGGATATCTATAATAATAAGATTTTACAGGACAGTTTTGTAAAAGTTTGGAATGTAATAACTTTTATAATAAACAAGTATTATTTTTCAAATTTGGCTTACTTACTAACCAAGTGGTTATTGCAGGTATTCTATTTTTTATGTAATTTTCAAGATTTTGCCAGATGGCATTATTTATCTCGTACACTAAATGAGTCGACTACCACATATCTTTGTATACTTTTTAACTTTTAAAACTACTAAATTTATAAGTTATAAAACCAATTGATGTTGTCATTTTTACTTTATAAATTTACTGACATTCATAAATATAAGAAATTAAACTGATTGCCAGAGTGGAATCTTAAGATATATTATTCTAAATCAATTTACTTATTGCATAAAATATATATAGACGAACCTCGCAGTAGGATCCTCCTTCACCACGACAACGCCTCGTCGCACACCGCCAAGCGAACGATCGACTATTTGGCGACATCAAACGTTGAATTACTGGGTCACCCGCCGTATAGCCCCGACCTCGCGCCTTGTGATTTTTATTTATTTCCAAAAATTAAAGAAAAACTTAAAGGAAAGCGGTTTATGAATGCTGAAGAAGCGGTGGCTGCGTATCGCGATGCCATTGAAGAGACCCCTAAGGACGAGTGGGCAAAGTGCTTTTCCCAGTGGTTCCATCGCATGCAGCGGTGTATTGACGTGAATGGACAATATTTTGAAAAGATATAATAAAACTAATAACTGGCTAATGTAATCAGTTTTTGATTTTCTAAGAACTTTCAGTTTGACCCTCGTATAAGGCAGTACAAGCAGCTGGCTACCTCGTTAGATGAAAGTTTTATCCCGTATACAAAAAATCCGCATTCAGTGCTCATATCAAAATATGTATAAATAAAGACTGATAACTAATGCTTAAAGTAAAAAGAGCATATTTCAACAAGAAGATTAGTGAGCACTTAGGAATATTTGACAATCGAAACTTGCTGGTGATACCTTCTTTACCTTAGGCAAAAAGCCCATTTGACATAGTGGACATGTGACTGGCAGCTTTACTTGACCGAAGCACATGCGGACTACTATAAATGTCTGTATATATGTACGAGTACATTGTTGCTTTGTGAAATTGGTGTTTAGTTATCTTTATGTACGCGAGCAAATCAAATCGAGAATTTATTTTTAGTACTCTACTATGAATATGACCAAAAATGTAGTTATCTGTTTGTTTTTTGTTACTGTCGATATGATATTCCCTAAAACGATCATTTGTAAAATTTAAGATTTTTTTCATATGCAGATAATCAACAAATCAAGCCGCTGCTGACGCAGATCGACCGGATCGACGCTCAGGTCTCACAGTTTGAGGTGAACGCTTATAGACTGGACAATTATACTAAACAATTAAAAGCTCGTTTTAAAGAACTCGAAGAAAAGTAATTACTCACATGGTAGTTTTGTATTGATTTGCATTTCAAAATATTTATATTATCCTTTTTGTTTCATTAATTATGCTTATTCGAACCGTTAAAAGATGTCGCTGAACAATTTATTCATTACCAATAAGGTACCAAATAAATAATAAATATCCTAAAGACAGTAGCTGTCTTAATAAAATGTTTATGTTATTTTATATTTTGTAAATATGATGATAAGATTATAGAGCTTATATGATCGTATTGTAGTTTGGTATTGATTTTGATTTTTCAATCCCTCAGAACAAAATATGCCTAATATGTCAAAAATGACAGCTCCTGTAAGACAACTAACCTGTAATAATGTAGACTGGACTTGGTCATCAATTCTTGAAAATTCATTAAAAAGCTTAAAAGATGCTGTAGTGAATGCTCCTATATTACAGTATTTTGACACTTATAAAGAAGTTGTAATACAGTATGATGCTAGTAAAGACCTAAATTATATTTTCTTGGATGACTGTACAAAAATAATCATTAGCTTATTTATAAATCAGCTAGCTTTCGATAGCCGCTATCACAATCACTACACCTTCGAAAATAATTGCGATAAACTTTCAAATTAGAAAATAGGGATGATGACTGGGTAAAATTAAATATTTAGTCCGTCAGTAAGACAATAGGAAGATATACTAGGAGTATTAGTGTGAATCCGGGAAGCGGGAACCAACTAGGCTTGCTGATAAACATATTCTTGATATTTTATCTAATAAAAAGGAATACTGGTACAATACTTTCGTATTTATTGCGATTTAATCGATATTTTTCCTTTGATATATCGATGCTAATATTGATATTTTAATAAATATCGATACATCGATTATTTTGTTATTTTCGAGTTTGGCATCACTAGAACCAACATGCACGCAGTAAGCACCAGGTCTCAGACAATAGCATAGGGCCTAACCAAAAACAAAGTACTTAACTGGAATGGTTGGACTCGAATCCCATATTAAAACCACATTAAACGGCATACCGCGATGCATTAAATGACCAGCGCCATCTATTTTGCAGACTTAGAACTATTCGAGCACCTATGAGAAGATGGGTGTGTCATAACAATATCTAAACAATATTGTTGCAAACTTGAAACTTCATATTGAACATAACAATATTGCAGCGACATTGTCACAAACGTGTCGTATTTGAAACAGCAATTTAGAATCAAAGAAAATTCAAAACTTGCCCCAAGTTTGCATGCTATCTGGGAAGGTACATATATTAGAAGAAAAATTTAATTCCCCATATGACCTATGAGTTTACATTATTATTTTCAATAAATGGCAAAATATTTATTGATAATAATAATAATACTAATTTCGACCATCAATGAATGAAGGAGTTTAACCGACTCATGAAAAGCTGATGTGTTGTATAATGGCGTAATGATATCATTTATAGTACTCTGATAGTGCTATTAATATTCAAATTGCAATTACCTAATATTCTTTCATAAAAACGTCCTGCTGGATTTTTTACGTTGAAGTTTGATAGTAATACCTTCCTTTTTCGTCTGAATCTGTGCGACTGCGATATCGAGCTTGTATATTAGTTATTTTAAAATCACACATTTTTCATTTATTGTATAGTTATATCATAAGTAAAAAATCAAACATTTTTTTCAGTACTGTTATTGTTTATTAAGTGAGTCTATTATATTTCAAAACACTGAGGCTACGAATGTAAGAAATACAGAAGTTCTTTTGCCAGTTTGTGTAAATCACATAAGTCCAAGAATAAAACAGAATATATCATAAGTTTTTTCTTTATCAGTGTTTGTATTTTGCCAATGGCTGCCAATTTTATAATGCCCAGAAATTACATATTTTCTATCATGACATGTTCCTTATATGTGATTAAAAATGAGCGTGATGGGGCGGCTTCGGAGTGATGATTTCATTTGTTTATAATAATTTATAGGCACGCCAATGTATGCGAACAATGCGCCGCGTGAATGCCACGCCCCACCACGCCCCCTGTGGTGACGTCAAACACAAGAGGGCCGTCTTCATGTCGATCGAATTATATATGTACTGTACTATTTTAGGCTCTTTTTCTTTTAGTTTCTCTTGTGTAGCATCTGTGTGGTGTATCTCGAACATGGTAACAGTGATTATGCCGCTAAACTTACTATGACATTCGCGCACGAGATGGCGCCACTCTTATGTTTGACGTTGCACCTTTACAGAGTTAGTAATTTGCCTGTAATAATAATGAATGAGTTTTTTTAATTGGCAGCGTTACATTACAATCAATTTGAATAGTCGAGTATGTATAAACAGCCACCCATTCAGGAGTTTGAGTCATGGAGAAGAACGGGTGCAAGAAACTCCACAACTTTACAAATAGTACTTATCTAACGACATATATAAAATACTATACCTACTTATAGTTAGAGTGTTAATAAAATTACAATTAATACAGATAAATAAAAGTCGTTAAGTGTAGTGTGATGTGACGAGGTAACGTCAAAATAAACAAACTAACCACCGATGAATGGTCGCCCATTCCTCGGTCCATCTATATATCCCTCTCATTGCCCTAGAGGGGAAATACAGCTGGAGCACTATAGGCGACAATTCGCATAGCGTTTTCCGAATCAATTCAATATATCTACGCTGTAAGAAACGCATCCACCGCTTAATGGAGGTAGGTAATGAAGTCTGTCCATGGGGCCGACCGCCATATACTGGTTTAGTGGGGACAATGATATTTTACCACATAAGGGGATAATTCCAACCTCTGTATTCTGATATTAGGCACGAGTGCAGACAATCGAATCTAGAACAATCTAGAAGAGAACTACACAGTGAGAAGATAACATCAAGATATATAGACACTGCCCTATCAGTATCAGGCCTACTTCTAAGCTAAGACAGACACAATAACACTAATATGATCTGATTGTCTTCACTCATAATCGGATAAAGATGGTTAGTACTCTTGCCAGCTCCTGGACCTTTCCAATGTAGAAGAAGAGTGTAGAGAGTTGCAGACCTGTGAGCGATAGCCCACTTTTGTTTATCATATAAGGCGACGTGGATTTGTTACGTTTCTGACAGTTCTGTTCGCATGAAATCAAGTCAAAAATTATACAATTCAAAGGTTTTGGCATAAGAAATACAAGAAATGCGACGCATAAAAAACATTGGCCATTATAACATAGGATACATTTTTTTGGTATTTTTATTTATGAACATCGATATTGCTAATAACACCATTTTTTTTTTCGTTTTTTTTTGTTAATTCTACATCAATTTTAATCTTACGGTTAATAGTTTACGTAATATAGGTAGTATTGGTTCACGAAGACTGAGTGATAATGATAATCTTGTAAATTTTAGTAAAAATAATGAAAAAGAACCCATACTTAAATGACAGATTTCAATAAAATAAATACTATAGTAATTATAAATTAATATGTGCCTTGTTTAGGTTGATAGGTACGCAAAGATGCATACACTGAGGTAATTGTAGTATTTTTCAGTGCTCATATTTCAAAATTTATTTTCTCATACTCGTACACGTACAACACAAACTCGAGTTCGAGTTTTATTTAAACTAACCTAGTTTTAGGTCAGTTGTTTTAAGTATGTGTTATAATTAAACAGTAATCACTCCGGTTAGTACCGGGCACCGATTGAACTTTCCTTTAGGAATTTAGTGATATCACCAAGTACATTCTACAGCCGCATTCATACTGATAGTAACGACGTTTGCGGAGGACAAGCTTATTCATTAGTTAGTAATTAATAAGTTTATATAAAAAGAAATCCTTTCCAACATATATTTAAACAAACGCCCCCACTTAAATAAATTGAACGATAAAATCAACTATTTACCAGTTAAACGAGGTAATAAGATGTAATTATTTAAAACTTATTTATAGAAACATAACATATAACGGCATAAATGTAAGGTCAAATAATATTTTGATATCCGCACTAGACAGTTCGTCCTCGCAATGTGTATGTGGCAATGCCGTTTCAGTCACAGTAGCAGTTAGTTACAGATCTAAAAAGCTCATTACTCGTTCACCTAACGCTCTATAACAGTCTTCACATTTCATTTTAGCCTTTGGTTTCAAATAAAATTACTTAAATATATTTTAAATAGTCAATTTGTAAATTAAATTCAACGAGCACCTCGAGATCACAAGAAAACAATAAATAATAAGTGTAAAAAAAAATATCCATTCCATTATATAAATTAATAAATGCATTGTTGCGGTTAATTGATTTTTAACTTTTGCGACATGCTGTTGTTTATATCTTACAAACAACAACAAGTCGCAAAAAATTTCACAATTTAATTTCGTTTACCGCATGTATATTGCCTAAAAAATCGCAAAAAGCTAGCTATGAGCGACTTGTACGCTAATACAACACAAACATCGATAGGCAACGGCAGTTTATTTGGTTATAGAAGAATGACTTGTTTTGAAATGCCTAGTGCTAATGCATTATCTATAATGTCACATCGTGTTACGCACATAATTCTTCATATTCCATCTGTTATAATAAGGTGTTCGTATCCTTTTATCCAGAATTTCATTTTATCTGTTAATTTTATAATAATAATTCAATGTTTGAAGATTACTCCATTAGATCTTGTATTGAGTTACAAAATAAATATAAATAAGTGAAGTTACAAAAATAAAAGTGGTTGATGTCCGCCCCGTTGCCTTAGAAGCTAACAATATCTGCTTTTGTTATTACCATGCAAATTATATTTATCAAATTTACCAATTTCGGAAAAAAGACCCTGTCAAGTTTTCTCTATCAATATAAAATATTATGAATGTAAATAAATATTATAAGAAATATATTTCATAAGCATCAGTATTAGATATAATTTAACAGTCGAAAGATTCTACTAGATTTATATTTAAAATTCAGTTCTTTTGAAGACTACCTACGTCAGGATGGAATTTATCACTCTTTCCTTTTACATTTTTAAACGATCGCATAATTTTAAGTAAAGTTTAATGGCACATACGAGAGAATTTAATGCCCAATACTTTAGGAAATAAAACAACAAAATAATTTCGCCAAGTTTACGTTAATTGGAAGAATCAGCAAGTTACACATTAATAGTATTTTCCCTTTTTATATGTTCCAACCCAAGCTAATCATCTGACATTCCATGAAGCCATCTACCGAATGTATCCTCGTTCGAAACGACATATCGCTGATTAACAAGACATCAATTCTTCCCTTAATACAGGTACATATATGAAATACTGAAACTACTGACTATGCAAAGACGAGACAATCTCCTTCCAAACGTTTAATCATCACACATACGACCATAGCTAATCATCATTCAAACCACAAAAGCCTTTATTTTATATAAATTGTCGTCGTTCAAAAATCCAGGCCAAAAATGCAAAACACTGACTTTCACAACCTTCCTTTCATAAAAAATAAGTTTCATTTTCCAATCAGATCCCTTCTATATGAATAAATATTAGACATGACATTTATAATAGTATTAACATTTGTATTGAAATAGTGGAAGATGTCAGAAGTACCTACACCTGAGTGGATCCAAATAAAGAAGTGAG